GAACTCAGCCTGCTCCCCAGACCCAAGTGGGCCAATGCTGAGGAAGCCAGTGAAGATCCACTTGCTGGGGACTCCCTGCCATGCCCCGCCCCCACCCCCTCCTGGGTCTCATGCTCTCCCCAGTGGCCCTGGACAGAGACCTTGAACTCCAGATGGCAATGGAAAGCTCCTTTGTAACAGCCCTTCTGGGCCCTGCCCCACCACCCTCACTTCCCCTCTCCCCTCCACCCAAGCCTTGCCCACAATTAACTCATTTTTTAAGATCGCTTCCAAACATAAGTCAACTCTGGACAGAGCTGTAGGAAAAGCTTCCTCAAGGCTGGCCCTGAAGAGCGTGTGGTGAGACCAGGCCTCTTTGCCAGCCCCCGCCCACCCTTGGCTCCCACAGCCAGGCTTGAGGCTGGGACCCTCTGAGGGCTCGCCCTGGGGGCCTGTGATCAGACACCCCCTTCTTTGCCTCTTGCTTCACCCCACAGCCCCTGCCCTCAGGCCTGGCCTCCTTTCCATCTGGCCCCATTCTGCCCGGCAAGTGCCCTTCTGACCGAGAGGGCATGTGTGAGGCATGGGGGCATCTCAGGAGTGCCAGATGACAGTGGTCACACTGGGACCTGGGACTCTTGGCCAAGAAGTTTGGGGACCCTGTGAGATGGCCCCACCCAGGCCACTGCCAGGCCACCCCAGGCCAGGGGGCCCAGCAGCCCCTTGTCACACACATTCCAATGTGGGAGTGGGGCACAGCTGAGGGGCCCACAGGACCTGTTGCCCCCCCCCCCATTTTATGCAGGAGGAATTGGAGGCCTAGAGGGAAGGGAGATGCCCAGAGGTAGGCAAGGAGCTGGTAGAGGGACAAGGAGCTGAGCTTCGTGCTCCAGCCCCATCCTGAGGTAGGCCCATGCCCAGGTGGTGCTGGGGCCCTAAGGGCCAGGTCCATGCTTACCACCCTAGCTCTGCCCACGTATTCTGTTTCCTCCAGAATTGGGAGGCCTCAGCACTGGTGCCCATGGCAGAAGCCCACAGGCTTGGCAGGTTCCAGAGGGGCCAGAGCTGCCATTGCCCAGGTTGCCCTGGCACCTGCCCCCTCTCCTGAGGACCCAGGAGGCCCTGGGGCCTGTGCTTGCAAGGCCCAGCCCCTCTCCTTTCCCAGCCGTGGAGGTAGGACCTGGCAGCCTGGGGTGGGTGGCCTGCTCTGTGGTGGGCCTCACAGGCCCACTGTGTGTGAAGACAGAAGCCCCATTCATGGGGGCCACTGGGCCTGGGCCAGTGGAGAATAAATGCAGGCCTTACAGAAAAAGAGCAGCAGCACTTGGGTCCAAGAAAAAAATCAATCTCTCTTTCTCCTCAGGTGGGAGCAGGCGATGTTGGGGGAAGTTGAGGGCAAGGCCTAGGAAGGCGTGTGTTTGGGTGAGTGCTTCCTGGGCCAGGGTGAGTGGGGGGAGGCTCTGAGCGCTGCAGCCAGGGCTAGGAGCTGAGGCAGCAGGACTGTTGCGTGCCATCTTATGTGTGTCCCTTCCTGCTGTGGCCGCCACTCCCACCTCTCCCAGCTATTCATCCCCTACACCACCCCAGGCGGCCTGCACGGCCCACGCGAGGTGGCCATGAAGGCCGTGCTGCTCCCCATCCTGGCTCTTTGGGTGGGGTGCTACCCTGGAGGGGCCCTGTCCAAGCAAGGGCTGAGCCTGAGAGAGCCCACAGCTATGCCAACCCCCATGGGCTTGCCCATCCTGCAGCCGCCACCACCCAGCCCACCTGGGCCCCCCGACGGTGAGTAGGTGGCACCATCAGGAAGAGGCTGGCAGGAAGGGAGCACCCTGCCCTGCTACAGGAACTCCCCTGGGGCTGGGGCAGAGGGAGAGAAAGCCAGTCACCCCAAGGCTACGCCTACCTTGGGTACTTGGGCAGGGGCTGAGAGGGGCCCAGTGGGCCTCAGGGAACCCTCCCTGGAGGGCGAGGGGGGATTGCAGACTCTGAGAGGCCTCATGCCCATCGCCCAGGGTGGGGAGAGGGGAGGGGAGAGGCCCCCTAGGAGGGGCTGCTGCAGCTGTGGCCAGAAGAATGGATCTGGGTTTGCTGGTTCGGGAGTTGACTTGGCTGCACAGGCCTACTGGGGAGACTGGAGAAGTGTGAGAGGCTGGAAGTGGGGGCCCAGGGCTGGGATGGGGTGGCACAAGAGGCCCCAGGAGACCGGCTATGGTGTGGCCCTGGTCTCATATGCCAGTGGTTGGCACCATGCTTGGGTGCCAGGCACCCACTGCACTAGGAACCCACTGCCCCTGCAGATAGCAAGACCTGCAGGGAGGCCCGTGGTCGGCGCTGGTTAAGGGGGGCCTGCCACACGGTGGAGGGGAGGCCTGGGGGCTATTGCTGATCCTTTGCCATGGCTGACAGCCCCTCAGATGGCCTCCAGGCTTGCCTCACCCCCAACAACCTACCCACCCAGCAGGCACTGGGGCTTCCACCTCCAAAAGCAAACTGTGCCAGGTGGCAGCAACCCCTCCCCAGGTGAATCTCCCCAGAAGCTGTCCCCACCCCTCCCTGCCCAAGAAGTACCCACAGGGGATGGAGAGGCACAGGGGCAGGCGCAGCCTCTCTGCCTAGGCCAATGAATCTCTTCTGGGCCCAGCGCTGTGGGCCAGGGGCCTGCCTGTGCCTTGTCCCCACAGGCCTGGAGGGTCTGCAGCAGTAAAGAGCCACTTCGGTTCTGAAAAGCAGGCAGGGCAATTGGGCGCAGGGGCTGCCAGCCTGTGTGCGACATGGAGCAGCACTCTGCTCTCTCTCTGCTGCTTGGGGCCCCCCACTCTGGGGCCATGAAAAGGAGGAGGAAACCAGGGAATCTCTCACACTTGATAGCCTTGAGGGTCTGTGACAGAAGGCTGAGAGCTCCTGAGGAGAGAAGAGAAAGGCAGAAGTGAGGCCTGGGCAGAAAGGGAAGGAGGGAGGTGAGCCAGCCTGCGGCAACCTCCAGCTCTGGGGGAAGGAGATGCCACCTCTCAGCCGTGCAGGAGTCCCGGCCACCCCAGCCCACACCCGCTCCTTCTGTAGGTCAGGTGCAACCCATTCCTGGGAACAGTGGCAGGCCTGAAGACGGGCAGCTGGACTGGCCACAAGCGCATCCCACCTCCAAGGAGGGAGCCCACGGAGCCCCCACCCAGCCCCTGGCCCCCAGATGGAAGGCCCCTGCCAGACCAGGGCTGGCACAGAGGAAGGACTTGCCCCCAGTAGCCTTGGAGCAGGAGCAGAGTCACAACAAGGGGCCCAGCACTGAGCGGGCCCAGCCCCAGGCCACGGAGGCAGCGGGGGCTGAGGCAGCAAAGCCCCAGGCCACCAAGCTCAGGCCCTTGCAGGCCAGCAGGGCCCCCCAAGCCCAAGAGGGGTCAGTGGCTGCCAAAGAGGGCCAGGGCAGGAAGGCAGGAGGCCAGGAAGCCAGGAGCAGGGGCCTGAAGACCAGGAGGCCCCCCAAAGGTGAGGACCAGCGGGACAGGCAGGCCCTGGACGGGGCCTGTGGGGGGTGACGGGGACGTGTATGAGTCTGAAGTGGCCAAGGCTTGGTCCAACCTCCACCAGTCTCACCAGTGTCACCAGCCACTCAAACCCCACCCTGCTCTCAGTGTGCCCAAGCTAAGCACCCTTGTGTGTGGGGCAGAAGAGAAACTCTCCAAGGCAGGTCCCCGTCCCCAGCCTCAGGGCCCCCATGTGGGCCTTTGCCCTTGGTGCCAAGGAAAGAGGGCCCAGTGGCCTGTTGTTCCAGCCCGGCTAGCTGAGTCACTGGCAGGTCCAGGGGTCCCCAGGCAAGCCCCTGCCCCTCTGGGGGCCCCTGTTGCTATGTGGCTAGGCTGGGGCTATGTCTCCCATCCTCCAGGGGCCTCTGGCCAGCGTGGCCCGGGGGGCTGGCATCAAAAGAAAGACCACGGCCGAGGCCGTGGTGGCAGCAGCATCTTGAGGACCACAGGCCACAGGCGGAAAGGGCCTGGAAGCAGGCGAGGGCCCAGGCATGGGCATGCAGACCTGGGCACCGCCAAGCAGGCCATGTCCTCCCTGCTGGCCTCCTGCCTCCTGGCCCAGGCGGCCATTGCCTGTGGCAATGTCAAAATGAAGCATGTCCCTGCCCTGACTGACTCTGGCCTGACCACGCTCTACCTGGCAGGTGGGTGGCCCATGTCTCCCTCCCCGCCCCGTCGCAGGAGTGAGCAGGCCATATGCCCCGGCTCCCCCTCGAATGGGTGTTTGGCCACTGTGGCTACCGCCCTGCTGTGCCCTGGGGATGGCCCACCTCTCCGTGGCTCCTGGTTGGCAATGAGAAGATGCCCCAACCTGGGATAGCCACAAGAGCCAGCTCCTTCGAGGAGTGTGTCACTGCTGCCTCCCACCTCATGGGGGAGGTACAGTGTGGCAGAGGGCGGGGGACAAGGGGACATGGACTATGGCTGCCCCGTGTGTGCACAGAGAAAGAAATTGCCAAGATCCCAGCCGACACATTCCTGGGGCTGCCCAACCTGGAGTGGCTGGACCTGAGCAAGAATAAGCTGGACGCCCAAGGCCTGCACCCACATGGCTTCAAGTTGTGCAGCAGCCCCTCCACCTGCTCTCCCAGGGGGCCTGGGCTGGGGAGGACAACTGGCAGGTCTGCGATGGCCCCACATGTCCATTGTCCTTGCCCCACCCTGCCTGGGGGATAAGGCCTGGAGGAGGCACTGCGCAGAGTACCCAGCATGGTGGGCTTCAATGATTTGGGGTGACACGGTCCACAGCTGGGAGTGTGGAGAGTGGCACATATCCTTGGGCCCCGCGAGGGAGCGGCACTCCTGGGAGAGACTGAGGGGGCGTCCAGAAATCCCTAGACAGGCTTGGTCCAAGTGGGAACTAGGAAGCCATGATGCAACCAAATAGGGGTGCTCCCTGAGCAGGATGAGCCCAAAGCCACGCCCAGACGGCCTATTACCGGCTAGCAGCACCTCAGCCCCCTCCTCTCCCCACTCCGCCAGAATCTGACTCAGCTGAAGTGGATGAACCTGGATGGGAACTCACTGTCCACAGTGCCAGCCTTGCCCACCTCCTTGCAGGAGCTCAAACTCAACTGGAGCTGGGTACGCTCCAGGGGCAGGGCCCAGAGGCTGGGTCTGGGCAGCCAGGGAGGCTGTGGAAAGGTGCAGGCAAGGAGAGGGTCTGCCTAGAGCAGCCTGGCTGGAGGGCAGAGGTGGGAGCAGCAGCCTGGGCAAGTGGCCCTGGCCTCTAAGGGCGGGGGGTCTCTGGAGCTACAGCAGTCGCTTCTGGTGGGCCTTCAGAGCGCTGCAGTCTGCTGACCTGCCCCTCTGTCCGCCCTGCAGGGCTCAGCCAGCTGCTGACACTGGAGGTGGAAGGGAACCAGCTGCATGATGGGAACATCTCTCCCCTGGCCTTCCAGCCCCTACGCAGCCTGCTCTACCTGAGGCTGGACCGGAACCGGCTTTGGACCATTCTGCCTGGCCTGCCAGCCTCCCTGCAGGTGAGTGGGGAGCCCCGAGGCTGGGGGAGGCAATGTTGTGGTCAAAAGACCAGAGCATCTGCCGCTGGCGAGTAGAGCTGCCCACGGGGGGAGTTTTGATGATAAACCCATAAGGCCTCAGCATCAAAGGGCCTCCGCTCCACCTGACCTAACCTTCTGGAAGCCCAGAGTTGGGCCTTGAAGACCCTCCTGGACCCACTGGGTGTCCCTGAGCGAGGCCTATGCCCTCTCTGTGCCACGCAGTCCACTTGTGCTTGGCAGTACTCTCTGGGGCTGTGTCTTGTGGGGCTCTGAGGAGCCATGGCACTGCTGGCAGGTGTTGCCAGGATCATTTGCACAGATGACCAGACCCCAAGAGGAACAGAGAAGGTGGCACCTGAGTCCTGTGGACAGGGCCGGGTGGAAGGGAGTGGCAGGTGGGCCCCTCACCCGGAGCCCTGGCCGTAGGAGCTGCACCTGAGCACCAACGCCATCGAGGAGGTTTTGGAGGGTGCCCTGAGCCGTGGCCGCGGCCTCAGCGTGCTGGTGCTCAGCAACAACCGGCTCCAGGAGGACCGGCTGGCGCCACGCGCCTGGATCCATCTCCCATGAGTGCCGCCACCTGCCCCAGCACCACCCTGACGGGCACGTGGAAGCCAGAGTGAGGCAGGAAGGCAGAGGGCCGAGGGTGGCCCTGTTGCTTGGGCCTGGTCTCAGGTGGGTCGCCTGGGTCACCTGTGCTCCTCCAAGAGTTCCCTCTGTCCCTCCCACCTGGCAGAATTCCAAAGGTCACAGAAACCACCTCCCCTGGCCATGCCTGGGCTCACCCGGGAGGTGCTGTGGGCCTGGGCAGAGGGGCAGCGCAGGTGGTGAGAGCTGGCCTGGTGCTGGGTTTAGCTGGGAGGCGACAGGGGCGTGGAAGAGATGGCAAGGCACGGGAAAGAGAGGTGTATGAGTGTCCAGGGGTGGCCTTGACAAAGGACCATAAGCTGGGCAGCTTAAAACAACAAGGATTTCTTCTCTCACAGTTCTGGAAGCTAGAAGTGTGAAATCCGGGTGTCATCAGGGCTGTGCTCCCTCTGCAGGCTCTAGGGGAGGACCCTTCCTGCCTCTTCCAGCTTCTGGGGGCCCCAGGTGTTCCTCAGCTTGTGGCTGCATCCCTCCAGTCTCTGCCTCTGTCTTCACATGACCTTCTCCTCCATGTCTGGATCTCCTCTTCCATCTCTTATAAGGACACTTGTTTCATTTAGGGCCCACCCTACTCCAGGATGATCTCATCCCAAGATCCTTCACTTTATTACATGTGCAAAGACCCTTTTGCCAAATACGATCATGTTCACAGGTTCTGGGTAGACATATCTTTTGAGGGCCACTATTCACCCCACTACAGGAAGGGTCCAGGATGAGTCCCCGTGATCTGCTTTGGACAGCTGAGTGGGGCCACTGGCCAGAGGGGTCCAGGAGGAGACCTGGCCCTTACAGGCACTGACTAAGGACACAGGATGTGGTTCCCGGAGCAGTGGGAGGGCCGGGGAGGTGCAATCCATGGGGTCTGACATGGGGAGCGGGGGGTGGGGGGGCGGTGGTCGACAGGCAGTCCTACCACCATCCCCAGCACGGGAGCCTCCCGCCCTGTGTCCTCATGTTCCAGGAAAAAGTTACCAGGACGTTTGGGTTTAATTATTCCTTTTTCCTCTCTCCCTCTTGCCAAGGGGGCAAAGGAAAGCAGACAGCAGCCTAGGGAGGGGCCGCCCAGCCGCTGTTCCACTCCTGCTGCGGGGCCTGGGCAGGGGGCTGGCAGCCAGTCAAGCCAGGGCGGCGCCGCCCAGCTTTTCTCTGGCTGGTGGAATGGGAGGGGGCGGCCGGCTCGGCAGGCTCAGGAGGCACCAGAGCCCCCACCCAGTGGGCTGAGGGCTGCATGGGCCCCAAGGCCAAAGGGCTGACCCCACCCACAGAGGCTGGAGGATGTCACTAAGAGAGGCCACTTTCCCTGCTCTGACCCATTCTAGAAGCATCACCACCCTCTGCTGCTGCCTTTCCCTAGCCAGTCCTTGTCCCCACCCACCGTGGAGTGACCTGAGCTCATGGTGGCCTGAGCTTAACTGCCTGCCTCCCAGATCCCTCAGGGTCGCCTGGCCTTGACCCTCTGGGAGCCTTATTTTTCTTTCCCTCCCCATCTGTTTTCTGCTTATTAGCTTGGATGAGGCAGGAAGAGGACAAAAGCAGAGGACTGTGAGGCCAAGGAAGGGCAGAGCAGGGGCAGGCCTAAGTGAGGAAGATGGGGTGACAGCTCACTGCCCCTAGCTCTTTCCCCAAATTGCAGGTACCTCCATTTGTATTTCCTTTGTCAGATGGAAATCTTAGGAGCCCCGGAGGGTTGGAAAGAAATGGGTCAGCATTGCTAGCCATGCAGTGAGCAAGGAATGGCCCCACCCAGACCACCTCTTCCTTGCCTCAGGGACAGAGGAGAACACAGAAGCCAGACAGGGCCTCGCCTGAAACAGCTCCCAGCTGTTGGGAGCTCTGATTTCAGCTTCTGTCTGGGGGCAAATCCCCACCATTCTCTTGGGTGTGGACCAGGGACCCTGATTTGGGCTCCAGCTGTTGCTGTGGTTCTGGCCAGGTGCCACCCGCTCACCTCAAACCCACCCGCAGGAAGCTGGAGACCCTTGACCTGTCCCACAACTGGCTGGTGCACGTGCCTTCCTTCCTGCTGCAGGGCCTCCGGCGCCTGGCGCTGCACCACAACCACATCGAGCACATCCCCGGCTACATGTTCACGCACATGAAGCCAGGCCTGGAGTTCCTGCACCTGTCCCACAACAGCCTGCACGCCGATGGCATCCACAGCATGTCCTTCCTGGGCCTGCGCACCTCCCTGGCTGAGCTGCTGCTGGACCACAACCAGCTGCAAGCCATCCCGCGGGGCCTTCTGGGCCTCAGGGGGCTGCGTGTGCCGCGCCTGAGTCACAACAAGATCAGGTAGGGCCACCTGCCTGCGCCTATCCTGCTTTCCCACCCCTCCCCACTGCCAGCCAGTGGAGGAAGGGGCGGCTGAGGCCGGGAGGCCCTGCCTGCTAGGTGGGCCAAGGAGGGCTGGCCTGTGGGCTCCTCACTCGGGGGCCTCAGAGGCTGAGGGCGGGATTGAGGAGGGGGGTGGAAGCTGCTCCCGTCCATCCATCTTGGTTGCCATGATGGGAGGCTGTGCCCAGTGGCTGCAGCCAAGGGGGAGGGCTGCAGACAGCAGAATCGAGGCAACAAGGGCTGAGCCCCGAGTGGGGAGGGGGCAGGTGGTGGCAGCGACCTGCCTGACCCTCCGCCCTGGGTCTGGTCTCTGTGCCTCAGTCTCACCACCCCCTCACTGTGGGGCCCTCTCTCTCCTCTCACGTGATGGCTGCCTCCCATTTCTGGTGTATTCTATTTTCTGCTTGGCCCTGCCACCCCCACCCCACAGACACGTGCCCCTGAATTCCATCTGTGACACACGTGTGGCCCAGGACTCCAACCTCATCTCCACGCACCTGGAGAACAACCTCATCGACCGGTGCCACATTCCACCCACCGCCTTCTCCTGCATCCGGGCCTACCACAGCGTGGTCCTCCAGCCCCAGCAGGGGGAGGGGGAGGGCTCCTAGCCCCACCCTGCCAGCCTTCTTCACCCCTGCTCCTTTGGGACTGGTGGTGGTGGGGGCCCAGGCCCAGCTCCACTTGAACTTGGCACCACTGGGAGAAAGATCTAGAAGACCCTGATGCTTCAGATGTGCCCACTTCCCATTGACTGCTGAGGCCCCTTCACTTAGTAAACGGCCCAGTGGGGTGCCGTGCTGGTTTGGACTTGAACATAATAAATGTATCTCGTTCAAGCCCATGCAGCTCCACCAGCCTCCCTCCCTCCCTCCCTCCTGGATCTAACCCACATGCACACACCGGTTCCCCATTGAGCATGGAGCCCCGGGGCCCGTATCCTGGACGCTGCTTCATCAGCAGGGGGTTAAGGGGGCCTGGTTCCGGAAGCTTCTCTGAGAGCCTCCCCACCCCCACCCACCCTGGCCAGGGTCCTGAAGTCCCCTGCAGCTTGGCCCCAAGCCGTCTGGGGGTCAGGCTTGCCTCCTTTACTAAGAGCAGCATCAGTACCTCTCATCCAGGAAGGATCCTTGTCCCTGGCATGGATGCACAGAGGTGGGCTCTGCTGGCAGAGCAGGCTGACATGGAGGTGCCTGCCCTTTGTCCTGGAGCCACCTACGTCCATGCCTGTGCCCAGGCCAGAAGCACCTTTTCTCTCCCTCTCCCCCAGTTCCAGGCCCAGGGCCCTCATCCTGGTTCCCCCCCATCCCCAGTGCACACTCATCCCTAGGCCAGACTGTGGGCCCCAAGGGCCCCACCCACAGCCTGTGGAGGCAGGCACAGGCGACCAAGGATGTGAGACCCGGATGTGCCCTCGTGCAACCTGGTGCCAGGGGAGGTTGGGGAGCACCATCCTCTCCACAGCTCTTGGGGAGCAAGTGCTTGGTCCGTGGGAGGCCAGGCCAACCCTGCCCTGGGGGCCCAGCGGCAACCACCTCTGGCAGGAGTTGCTGACTGTCTGCCTGGTGGGGGAGGCAGATGCAGACATGAGTGAGCTGTGAGGGCTCAGGGCTGAGCCCTGAGGATGGGACCAGCCAGCTGTGCTGGGTGGGGACGTGGGGTCTAAGGAGCCCCCTGAGGCCACTGAAGCAGTTGCTCTGCCTGTATGATGGAGCCACCAGGAACAGGGTGGGATCACTGAGTTAGCCTCGACAGCTCAAGATGCCACCCTGCTTAATACTGGGGAGGGCAAGGGACAGGGAGGCCACAACCAGCAGGGAGCACAGTGGGCCCAGCCCCTGCCCCAGGGGAGTGGAGGGTTTATGGTGGTGTGGGGGCTGGGGAGACAGCCAAGTGACAGGCATCGAGGCTGCAGGGGGAGTGGGTCTGGCCCCAGCCTTCAGTGCTGCTGGATGTGGGTGGAGTGAAGGAGAAAGGGTAGCAAATGCCGCCTGCGGAGACCTTGCCCTGCCACCGCCTCTGGCTGGGGTCTGGGCCTGGGAACTGCCAGTCTTGCATCTGTCCCATTCTGTAGCCTTCCTCTCACCCCCACCCCCAAGTTCTGAACAGAGAAAGGGCCAGACTCTGGCAGGGGGCGGGGAGAGGCCTGGGAAGCTGGCGGAGTGTTTGCTTTGGACTCATCCCTGCATTCCTTCTCCTCCCCGGCCTGGGCCCACAGATATGGCACTTCCTGTTTGGTCTGGGTCAAAGGTCAGCAGCCCTTGAGGCACTGGCCCTTTGGAGAAGGCCCACTGCTTCCCCAGCTCTCACGACCCCTCCTCCACAGCCTGGCCACCCTGGCCCAGCCCCTCATGCTCTGGTCAGCCCCTGGCTCCATCCCTTCCCCCAGTGACAGAGGTCAGGCCCTGGAAGCACAGAAAGTTCGGGCTGGGTGACTCCCCACCCAGCCTCTTCCCTCAACTCCCTTGCCTCCACACTCTTACCTCTCCTGAGCAGGTGAGGCCAGAGGGCCTGGGAGGAGAAGGGCTGCACTCAAGGGCCCACTGCTTGTCAGGGCGAACTGGCCATGGGGTGGAGGAGGGAGTGGAGGAGGGCAGGGGGAAGGAGGAGGCAGGCAGCCCACAGGTGGTCACCCAGATTAATTCCACCTCTCAGACAGGAAGCCGCCTGGCCCTTGGGGCTGCTGTCAGGTAGGCTGAACCCAGGCCCAGGGGCCAATCCCTTGGTGACCTTCCCGAGCAGAGCTAGGCCTGAGGCAGCATAGACACAGCCGAGCCTCTAGTGGTTGTCTGCCATTGGGCTTCCGGAAGCTGACTCAGAGGCCAGGATTAGCTTGAAGGAAGTTTACTGTGAGGATCCTGGGGCTGCCACCTCAGGGAGGGGAGGACAAGAGCAGGAGTGGGCCTTTTACAGCACCCCCCCCCCCCGTCACCATTAGGTGGGGCTCCCCAGCAGAGGGCGCTCTCTTCAGCCCAGGCAATTCCTCAAAAGGGCCAGGAGCTCAGGGCTGGGGGTGCCAGCAGCTAGAGGCCCGGGGCTGGCTTCAGGACGAGTGGGAAGGTGGCCATGGCAGCATGGCATGCCCCCCTGGGAGGGGCTCTCAGCAGCCCAGCCAGGGATGTCCTCAGACAGAGCCCCAGCCAAGGGAGCAAGTGCTGTGCAGCGGACACCTGGTGGCGGGACTGAGCCTACCGTGAACCCGCCTCTTCCTCACACATGCCCCCACCCCCCAGCCCCTGCTCACCCGAGCCTGCACGCTGGGGTGTGCTCTTAGGAGCAGATGCTGGCTCCATCAGAGGGTACAGCAGTGGGTGCGGCCTAGTCTGTAACCCTGAAGAGCTGGACATCTGGGGGGACACTGTAATGATAATTGTAATGGTGGTGACAACAGGGTAGGAGTGACTGGGGTCAGGTGGCAAGAACGCAGGCACTCATCAGTCCCCAGATTGAGACAGGGGTACTGAGGTAGTGGGGGTGGGACTGAAGGTAAGGACAGTGGGAACAGCAGGGACCAGGAGGGGGATACACGGGCTAACAAGTGTGACGGGTGAGAGGTGGAGAGTGGGGACAGGTAGCAGTGGTGCCCGCTCCCAGCCATAGTCCTACCCCTCAGCCTCCAAAATCTCCTCCAGGCCGCCTGCTCCTCTCCATCACCAGCACCCCCACCCGAGGGCCAGAGACCCGCTCCTTCGCCAGGCTCCCTGCCTAGCCTTCTACACATCCGGTTCCAAGCCTTCCTCCCGCCTCATGCACCACATAGAGGCAAGCTTGGTTCAAGCCCCCACAACCAGGAGGAACAGGCCCAGGAAGGAGCACAGAGAGCCGAGGAAGGCAAAGGTTGTGTCTAGCATGGTGTGCCCCATGCCTGGGCCTCCCACAGCCCCTGTAGCAGCTGCCACCATGGCAGCTATGCAGGGCCTATCAGGGAGACACTGGCTGCCCGGCCTCCTGTCCTGCACCTGCCCTCACCCACTGCAGGCGGGAGACAGATCTGGGCACTGCTCCTGGAGGCTAGCCTCCCTCAGGGAAGACCATGGGGGCCCTGGAGTGCCTCGTGGCCTCCCTGTATCTTGCTGGCTTCACAGGCGGCCCACAGATGCCTCCCTGTGGTGCAGCCCCATCCACCTGCCCTCGTCTGGCCACACCCCAGACTGTGCCTGTCTAAAGATAGTTAGAGCCCCCTCTGGGCTCTGAAATTACAGCCCTGGTGGCCCGGGGCAGAGAGCTGCTGTGTGATTATGTTCTCAGAGGAAGGTCAAAAAAAGCTCTGGCATAGAGAGTGCCAGCTTTCACCAACCACACCTCGGCCATCGGCACAGAGAAGCTTCCAGAGAACAGAGGCTCAGCCCACTCCATAGCAGCTCAGCTCCCTCTTGGGCCTGTTAGCGTGAGCCTCGTCCGGAATGGTCCCGGGCCCCATGCACCCAGAAGGTCCCCCTGAGCACAAGTTAGACGTGCTGCCTTGGGGCTACAGGATGTCATGAATCTGGCTTCCAGGGACCCACAAGGTGGGCGGGGCCTCCCCCTGGTGACTGTGGGTCTGACCCTCATCTGCCCTTGCCCAGCCCCTGAGGGTGTGGAGATTGGGGGTAGACAAAGCCAGCAGGCTGTGAGTGACGACCGAGTAAGGCCATGAACTTGGGGACACTGGCTTGGGTTCAAGGGTTTTAGTGCCAAGGAGCCTCGAGGGCCCTCTCCAAAATCTCAAATATCAGCTGAGTTCTGGGCAGGGTTGCTTGCTCAAGAAGTGACTTTGATGTGTGTGTGTTTGATGTGTCCCTGCCTGGGAGTTCATCCCGGAGGCTGGGGCATAAGGAGCTCCCGTGGGTGAGACCATTTGCTCTGGGCTGGCTTTGCAAGAGCGCTCCAGGGAGGGGCTGAAAGGCGGCCCCAGGGTGCCACTGGAGAGCCGCCTCCTCCCAGAAGCCCTCCCTGCACCCCCATCCCGTGCCAGCACCTAGGCCTGATCTGTTTCTTTCGATGTGCTCATCACACTCAGTCACCATCGTGATTCTTCACGCATGTCCTTGCTTCTGGTCCAGCAGCATGTGCGCCCTGGGGGGCGGGAAACAGTGGAAGTCAGGGCTGACTGACTCAGTGCCCAGAGGAGGATCAGAGAGGCAGAGGGGAGACCCGAGAAAGGAGCGGGGATCCGGGAATAACAGACAGGGGGAGCGATATGCAGAGGCTGTAGGGAGTAATCAGGGGGCCAGCCAGAAACAGCAGGGCAGGGACACCAGGAAGGCCATGGAAGGGGACTGGCAGAGGACCCCTGAACCCCAGGGCCCGGCTGTTCTTTCCAGGCCCCAGACGCTCATGGGGCCAGCAACTGGGTGGGCTGGAGCTCAAGGGGGGCTCTCTCAGCTGCTTCCACCTCTGTAGGGGCCCCCTCAGAGTCCCTGGGAGCCCCACCCACTGGGCCACCCCACAGGCTCTCAGGCTCTGCTCTCCAGGGACCCACACCAAAGACAGGGTTTCGTGTACAAAAGAAACCGGTGGCTTGAAGCCTGCCCTCTGGGTGCCCCACTTCTCTCCAGGGCCTCCCCCTCTAGCTTTGAAGACAAGGCATGAACAGCTGCAAGCCAGCTGTGGGGGAACTGCTGCAGCTGACTCCAGGTCCTTCTCCACACATAGGCCTACAGGATGGCAACAGGCTTAGATTGCCCTTCCCGGGGCGGCCCACGGCTGCTCGCCAGCCCTACCTCCCCTCCTCTCTGCTCCCTTCCCTCCTCCACACAGGCCTTCTCCTTCAGAAGCCCTTGCCCCATCCTCCTGTCTCCGGACTGCCTCCCTCCACCCCACCCCGCTACCTTTGAGCATTGCCCTGCACTCTGGGGCTCCAGGCTGGGCACTGGGGAGCGGGCTGTGGCAGCAGCGACCTGGCAAGGGCTAGGTGAGGGCTGGCTGCTCCCAGCAGGGGGCCAGAGTGTGGCCTGGGGACCCAGGCAGGGGGGCCCAGGGCAGGAAGCTTTCCTGGGAAGCCTGAGCCAGCCAACGGGCTCCTCCTCAGGTCAAGAGGGCTGAGTTTTTGGCTCCTTCTGGCAGAAGAAGGGTCCTCTGCGGGAGGCGGTGGGGGGGCCTGCAGGGCATTCAGCTTGTCAGGTGGTGTCCCAGAGGCGCAGGGCATGCCGGGCGAGGGTTCTCCTCCCCACCCCAGCCCCTGTGACTTGGCCAGCCCTGTCTGCCATCAGTCTTGCGGAGCTAAGACAGCTGTGCCTCGGCCTCCTCCGGACCCCCGGGGCCTCAGGAAATGCCTGCTCTTCCTTCCTGCCTTGTCCCTCACGCCTGCCCTCCCCTGCCTCCTGCTGCCTCTTCCCAGCCCTAGGAGGCCAGAGGGCAGGAGGCTGCTGGCTCCCACCAGCTAGCAAGGACGTGCTGTCCTCAGGGCTGCAGAGAGAGCCGAGGCCTGGGCAGAGGGAGGGGGAGGCCCATGACTGAGGTGCTGCCTGGCTGGTCTGGGAGTGGCCCCCAAATTAGAGGGCCAGGCCAAGTGACTCAGTGGGCCTTGGGCCCGGCATGCAGTTATGGCTTATTGCAGACTGCAAACCACAGACACAAGAGCCTTCCAGATGCAAGAACCATATTTATGGGAATATTGCCCCAAATGCATCCCTCAGCTTTGGGGAAGAGCTCCAACGTGCACAATGCGCCCCGTGCAGTGTCGCCTCTTCATTATCCCCAAGGGTGCGCACTGTGCTAGGGAACGAGGCTGACCCACCTGCTCCCACATCCTCTGCACCTTGCCTGTGCTTTTCTTTCCACTGCCAATGTCCCTCTTCCTTACTTGTCTGCTCCAAGTCACCTCCTCCAGGAAGCCTTCCTGAGCCTCTGGCACTGTGTGTGGCCCTGGGGAGGCAAGAAACAAGAATTCCGCAGTCTCCTCCCCCCCAGAGCTCAGAGTCTAGCCCCAGAGCCCCCAGAGTGGGCTTTCCCCAGCAAAGCCCTGACTGCTATGTTCAGGGCTCTTTTCATCCCCACTAGGACTCCTGAAGGCTGAGGCCCTGAGTGAGGACTCCTGGGGTCCCAGCCCCCAGAGCAGTGCAGGGCACAGCAGAGGGCTGGCTGGGGGCACGAGGCCAGGTGGGGCCTTACTCAGTAGGCGACAGGGTAGGAGAGAAGGGAGCAGAGAGGAGGGGAGGCAGGGCTGGGCAGCAGCCGTGGGGGGCCACCCCAGGCAGGGCAGTCTAAGCCTGTTGCCATCCTGCAGGCCTATGTGTGGAGAAGGACCTAGAGTTAGATCCTTGGGCAATGGGCTTGCCTTACATGGAGTGGTTTTTTTTTCATTTTTTAAACACCTTTATTGAGATATAATTAACATACCATACAATTCACCTATTTAAAATGGACACTTGAATGGTTTTTATTTAGTATATTCCCAGAATATGCAACATCACCACAGTCAAACTTAGAACATTTTCATCACCTCAAAAAGAAAACTCATACCTTCAGCTGTCACCTCTCTATCTCCCATTCCCCTGGCCGTAAGAAACCACTCATCTACTTTCTGTCTCTATAGATTTGCCTGTTGTGGACGTTTCATGTGGAATCATACAATACGTGGTCTTTTGCAACCGGCTTCTTTCACAGAGCACAATGTTTTATACTTGTTTGTACCCTCTTTCTCCTTCTACCCAGCCCTGCCTGGGGATGCTGAAGTTCGGCGAGGCTGCATGGGCTTCACCATATTAGCCTTTCTACTGCTGTATCCAATAAACAGTAAAAAAACCAAACAAACAAGCGACACACTGACTCCTCTCATCCGGAAGGGTATGTGTTCTCTCCAATCTCCTGGTCCCTGCTGTCTGCCACCACCTTCTCCTCAAAAACGACAGAGACAGAGCACCTGACCTGGACTCTGCTTTCCCTCGTCTCCCTTTACCCTGGTCCAGCCTGGAAGCTTCTTGCAGGCAGGCACCACAGCTTGGTCAAGCTACCATGTGTCCCAGGTCCAGGCCCAGGGGCCCTGAATGGTGCTGGTGCACAAGAAGGGGATCTGGGTGCAGTCACTCCCACAGGCAGAACCTTCTAGACCCCACCTGCATGCTGGCCCTGGGCTGGGCACTGAATGACTGAATGACAGCTGGCCAGGTGCGCGGGAGTCTCAGACCTCACCTCTCATCTCCTCCCATTGGACCCACCTCTCCCTGGTCCTCCCCGGACCCCCACCCCCACCCCCGCTTGAGCTTCCCTTCTCTCTCCGTAGTTGTCTCTTTCGGTCTTAGTGAAGTTCTGTCCTGTCTTGCGTTGCCTGTCTTCGTTTCTTCCCCTCTCAGTCTCCTGTCCTCCTTTGCAGACCTCAGTGCTGCTCCCTACCTCAGTTTCTCGTCCGTCTCAACCTTCAATGCAGTGTCAGCCCATGACCGAGGCTGGCTCTGGCCTGGCCCTGCTGCACACTGGGACCCCACTGGACAGGGAGGAGGTGCTGTGCTAAGGCCCTGGGCTCTAGATGCAGGTGGAGGTGGGCTTGCCTGGGCCCTCAGGAAGTGGCTGAGCTTCCAGCGATTGAGTGGGTGTCGTGGCTGATGACGGCCTCTTCCGGGGATGCGTGGCGGGCTGGCCCAGCCAGCCCCTGTAAGTGGCCAGTACAGGACCCAGCCCTGAGGAAGTGCCCACCCACAACGCGGCTATCGCATCCTGGGGGACCTGCACAGATTGAGCAAGAAGGCTGACTCGCTAAATGACTCTCTGAATCAGCTTTCCCGCTCTCAGCTTCTCCGAGCCTCAGGGCAGGCAAGCTAGGGAGGACCCCCAGAATGTGTGCCGCCCTCCGGCCAGCCCCCGCCACCCCCACCACTGAGTCCCATCCTGAGATCACAGAGACAGGACCAGTTCCCCTTTCTTAGAGAAAAAAGGCTGGAGTGGGGTAGGGGGTGGGGCAGTCAGAGTGCCCACGAGCCTAGATCAAGCCTTTCCAAAAATCCACAACAGCCGCCTCCCTGGTCCCAGAGAATCAGCTCCCTGTTCAGGCCCAGGCTGGCCGCAGGTTCAGGGGCCACTCACTGGTCTAGCAACCAGAGGTGCCTCCCCCTCGTCTCCTTTCCATTTCTGCCCTCTCGCCTTCCTCTGCCCAGCCAAGTTCCAGCAAGCCAGTTCCCACCCCTCTCTGGGCCTCAGTGTCCCCATCTGGGCAGTGGAAAGTTTGACTCTCTGAGGCTGAGCCTGCCCAGAGACGCCAAGGGTTCTTGTGTGAGTGAGAGTGTGTGTCCCTTCCCTACGTGCCCTGGGCGGGGGTGGGGGTCCTGGGGGGCGTGAGGGGGAGGGGGTGCAGCTAGCCCAGCTGTCTACAAGAAAATTGCTCCCTTTGAAGCTGCCAGGGGGGCCGGGAAGCCTACCCCCTCCCTCCCTCCTTTTCTCCCTCCCTCTCTCCCTCCCTCTCCGCCCCATCAGCCCCCTCCCTCCTTTCCTCCCTCCCTGCCCCCTCCCGTCGGCCCGCCCGCCCAGCCTTTAGCCTCCCTCCCGCCGCCTCTGTCTCCCTCTCTCCACGAACTGCCCAGGAGTGAGCAGCTGCTCTCTGACGGCCCGGACGACCTGGACGGCCCGACGAACAGACGCACGGACTGCCTGACACCCAAACCTGCCAACTAGCCAACCTGTGCCCTGCAGCTTCCCCTCCCCAGGTAGGGCCCCTAAGCCAGCCCCACGCTGTCCCCACGCTCGCCTTGAGCTGCCTTCGCTATTTCATCCCTGAGTCCGATGACCCCTCACCGAGATGCCCCCTACCCTGCTGCCCACGCTACCCCTCCATGTCCCTACCCCTGCCCCACTGCCCGCTTACCGCCCTCTCCTTCCCCCAGGCTGCCTGCAGATTCCCACGGCACTGCTGCAGACTCCTGGTCTGCGCCCCTTCATCGCCACCCTGCGGTCCCCTTGGTCCTTGTCTCGTTTCTGCCTCTTCTCCCCTCCCTCTTCTTCCAGGCGCCTTCTCCACCCCCCTTCCCTCTCCCCTCTGACCTCGCTCAGCTCCGCTCTGTGTCTGCCCTCTCTGCCTCACCCTTGGGGTTCTTGCCCTTGGCTGCCGCCCCAGAGCATCACAGAGGCATGGCTGGATGGCTGGCACCCCAGCTCTGCCAACAGTTCTCTCCCTTCACTGCAAGTCCCAGGCGCACCCTGTACTCCCACCGGGCTCTTCCTTGCTGGGGTGGGGGTGGGGTTTGCGCCTGGCCCAGGTCAGAAGGACCTCTAGGCGCACACCAGAGCTCAGCGCTGGGGAGAGGTCCCCACTTTCTTGGGGCAAGTCCTTGGCGTGGGCTGAGAGACTTGGTTTCCCAGGCACGCCCAAGGCACCCTGCCCGGATACTCCTCGCTTATCCACAGGCTAATGCCATGCCTCCACCTCCTCCTGAGAGAGTTGTTGGTCCACGGAGCCCTGGCCTCTGGGGCTCTGGGTGGGGCCCCCTGGGTGGCTCAGTCCTGTCTGTCCCCTGAACCTCCTTGGATTGGGACTCAGAATGGGGGGGTGGGCAGAGAGAAACTCAGGCAACTGTGCCATGTTACCCCGGACAGGCTTGGCTTGGGGCCCCGGAGGCCTTCTGGGGAGCCTCAGTAAATGTGAGGACACAGGCTCACTTCCAAGCTGAAGTGAGGGATGGGTGAGGTTCAAGAGCTCCCTGACTAGATGCCCTGTCCTCCAAAGGCAGCCCCCAAACTAGGGCATGGGGCATGTCTGGAATGGAGAGAGAGTCCCAGGTCTGAAGCAAAATGGAGCTGCAAGCTTGCCCCCCAGGGCCATTTGAGAGAGGAAGAGTGGCCCCTGCCGGTCCCACCCAGCCCCATCCACTGTACAAAGGGAGAAACCGAAGCCCAGAAAGGGATAGGAAGCTCTCTACCCTCGCACAGCCAGTCAGGGACAGAGCTGAAGCCAGGAACCAGGGCTCCTAACTGGCAAATCCTGGCTATTGACCCCAAACCACCCAGGAAACCCTCAAAGTCACTTGAGCATTGACGATGATAGCCTGTGGGGATCAGAGTGGGAAGTGGCAGGGCCATTGGCCCCAGTCCTGCAAGCTCCCAAAATGGCTGGCACGCTGAGGGGCCTGCCAGAGACCCAGGAGAGGAGCAAGAGGGAATGGAGCTCCCTGGGTGTGCCACTGAGTGCCTTGGAAGGTTGGGGGATGGGAACACCCCCCTCACAGCTCCATGGGCGGGACTGGGGCCTGGGTACTGGTTAGTTAGGGCTGCCTGAATTGGTTCTGCTGAGTGGAGCAGGAGGCCCAGGGTCCTCCAGGGCAGGACAGTGGGTGGGGGCGGGCGGGGCAGACCTCGCTCAGGCCAGGGAGATTGTTCTCAAGTCTTCTTCAGGGCCACTCAGGTTACAGATGTGGCCAGGCCTGTCCTGAGGGGGCTCCTGCCTCTGTGCCCTCGCCCCTCCCGGGGCTGCCAGTTCTCTGCCTCGTGGAGACAGATTGGGATTGGGACAAGCTGGAAATGCCCGGGCTTCCCTCGGTGCCAGGAAGGAAGGTTCCCCTGGATCTGCATCCAGGGGTGCGGGTTCCTGCGAAGTGAGAATGTGTGTGCGCAACCGCGTACATGCAGATGAGCACCTCCTGGTGACATGCAGCTGCCTGTGCCATTCCCCACCCGGGGAGAGCTGGTGCTCCAGCAGAGGTGCCTTTGTGTGGAACTTGCCCATGTCTGGCTACCATGGGGCAGCACAGTGAGTCTCTGAGGGCAGGACTGTGTGGGTACGTTGAAAGGAAGGTACAGGGCTGCCTCCAAGGCTGTGCAGCAGGAACAGGCTGGGAGCCAGGGAGCAGAGAGGACTCCTGTAGCGAGCCAGCCAGCTGCTGAATGGCTGTCCTGGCCACCCTGGCCTGCCCACCCGCTGGCCCACCTTTGAGCCCCAAGGACCCAGGTCACAGTGGGCATTAACCATTGCACTGCTTTTGTGCCCTGCCCCGGAGCAGGGACCAGGGTCTCCGTTGTGTAGATGGGGAGTCTAAGGTCCAGCCCCTTCGCCAATGGGTCTGGTGGCAGTTTTGTGCTGGCTCATTTTAGGGGCCCAGAAATTTGAGGTGCCAGCCCTCTGACCATTGTCCAGGATGATTTAGGAGCATCAGCCTGAATTCCTCCCCAATCCCACCAGTGGCCCTGGCTCACTGAAAGAATGTGAATTGGAAAGGATAGGAGGAAAGGGGATGTTTGTAAGACATGAGTTTCCTTTCTTTAGCGACGTTCTGTAGTCACTCAAACAAGACCACAGAGTGTCCCTTCCAGTGCCAGCGTCAAGTCCCCAGAGGAGGGATTTGTAACGAGCCCGCATGTGACCATTTCCAAGAAGGCTTCCCATTCCTCCCTGCTCCCCTGCTTCCTGGGCCCACCCACTGCCATCCCTCCTCCACTCCCTGGAGAAGCCCCATGGAGACAGCGCAACACAGGCCTGTCCCAGCAGTCACTTGTCCTTGGCCGCCTGGGGACATGGCATGGAAGAGCTGCCATACCCAGGGCCTCCCTTGGAGCACACAAGCAATGGGCAGCAACCCAGGCACCCAGACTCCCAGCCCGGCCAGGCACTGTCTGCTCCACCCTGGGCATAGCCCCAGCCCAGCCCTGGGGCCTCTGAAGCCCCACCTGCTAGGCCACTGGGCCGTTTGTCCTACGGGTGGCACAACTGGGGCCCCTCACCTTTCTTGCTCATCCCCAACACCACAGATAGTTATAAAGATCTTCCCACACCTGCCATGACTCCCTCCTGATCCTCCTCATCGGTTACCCCAGAGTAGGAGAGCTTGGTCCCTGCCCTGAGCTGCTTGACCCCCACCCGCCACACCTGTTGGCCCCACTGGTGGGAGAAGACACACCTGCCCAAGGGCTTGGCTCAAATCGAGGGACTGGGAGGTGATGGTGGCTCTCCCAGGGTACCCTGCCGTGAGCTGTGGGGAGGGGTGAGCATGGGCTCCCTCGGAAGGCAGACAGAGCCGGGTCCTGCCAGCTCTGCCCCTTCCTGTTGGGGCAGTCATTGCCCCTCCTCTCCCTTCTGTCCTCTTCTGCTCGGACACTAGGACCCACACCTTGATCACCCACAGAACCCTGTCTGTAAATTTCATCTTAGAGGGAGCCAGTGGGGGACAGGCTGAGGGTACTGCGCTGGGGGGATGGGGAGAGTGTCTGCTCAGTCCTGCCCTGGGCCTGAGGCCCACTGAGGCTAACTGACCTGCCTCATGGCAAGGCCCTTCTCCAGCCTTCCAGAACCAGCTTCCCAGTGCTCCCTGGGACTGTGGTTCATTTCCCCCCATTCCAGATGGGAAGTCTTGGGATGAAGGATCTTCCTCCGCCCCCCTGAGCCCACAGCCTAAGGGTCCCCCAGGGACCCCTTCATTCCCTCTCTGCTCCAGGTCAGGGAAGCTCCAGGGGTGGCTGTGGAGGGCGCCGTCTCGCCCAGAGCCCACAAGCCTCAGCTCCCAGTGCAGCCTGCAGAGCAGCACCAGCCCTCACTCGCTGGCAGACCAGCGTCCCTGATATTCCCGAGCCCAGTGAAGGTGCCTGGGGACTCAGATGAGCCGTGCCTGCCCCCTCCCTGTGGTGACACATCCCTCAGGTTTAAGGGGGAATCCTCAGCCTCCTTGCACCCAGCTCTCCCAGTCCACGGAATCTGAAAGCTAAATTTAGCAGAAACACCAGCCTGAGGCTGAGCGGCCGGATGAGGGGCGGTGGGCTGGGAGAGGTCCTAGACTCCGTGTGACTCTCAACTCACCCCTGCTTCTCCCACAGCAGCTGCCTTGTGGGGAGTGGGGTGAGGCGGATGGCCAAGGGGAGCATAGTAGTCAGAAGCCCAAGTGGCTGCAGGCTTGGGGATTTGGGGAACAGAAGTCGGACTTGCAGAGGGCAGAGACAGGCTGGCTCTGGCAGCCCTGTCCCGGGAGACAAGGGAAGTCCAGGAGACCAGTGCGACTTTGATCCTCTCGCAGTCTGAGTCCCAGCTCAGCCTTGACTATGGTCCCACTGGCCTGAGAAGCTGCCCAGCTGCAGGGAGGTGGGCACCACGGGAACCCTGAGAGGGACTGAAGGGGAACAGGTCCCGGGGCCTCTGGGCTGGCTGCAGAGAGCTGAGTCCCACCCCAGCCAGAGCCCCTGGCAGAGAGCAGGGGACCCAGTGCAGGGAAGGGGCTGCGAGAAACCCTGGGCCCAGGAAGGGGAGGGGCAATGGGGCCTCCCTCCAGGGGGCCCTGGTGCTCTCCTGCCCAGGGAACAGGGCCAACCCCCCTTGCCTTGGCCTGGCTCGGTGAGGGAGTGAGGTAGGTGGGGCCCCAGGCTCTGGAGCCAGGCTGAGAATATCTCCCTATGGGGTCTGGCGCCTGCTGGGACCTAAAATGCCGGGGGGAACTTCCCTGGCCCAGCTGAGATGATGGCTTTTCCAGGAGACTTCCCTGCAGATGGAGGCAGAGGCAGCAGGGTTGGGGCTGGCCTGATGGGTGCACTGAGGCCAAGGAGAGGCGTCTGGCTCTGTGGGCAGTGGGGAGCTGCTGATGGTGGCAGCCAGAGAGAGATGCCATGTTTCCAGAGGATTCATGATCCAAGCAAGAGGGCACAGGACCCCAAAGGGCCCTGCTTTCCAACAGCATCACCTCCCAGCTTGGGTGAGGGAGCTGCCAAAGAGTCTTCTCCAGGCCCCTGGGGCTGG